ACTATCTCTCCAAATGGAGGAAAATGTTTTGAGGTCAGGGTATAGATTTGGGAAAAAAGACAGGGTCGGGATGCGAGATAACAAAGTGTGGAGCTGGAGGAACACAGCAGGCCAGGCAGTATTAGAAGAACAGGAAAGCTGACGTTTCAGGTCGGGACCCTTCTTCTGAAAAAAATTTCTGCCTGGCCTGCTGTGTTCCTTCAACTCCACACTTTGTTATCTCTGACTCCAGCATCTGCAGTTCTTGCTATCTCAGGGTCAGGAATACCTTGTTTTAAACAGGAAAAGCTAGGTAGTGCTAAAACTCGGTACATCATGCTATGCTGGCCCTTTACATTTCAAAAAGATACATAAAATGATAGGAATGCTATAGGACTGCACAGTGAAAATTCAAAGAGTGGAAATTCCTACACAGAGAGATTCCATTATTTTGTTTGAACTAAAAAAATTGAAGCAGGTATATATGTCCCTGTGTTTCTGAGTATTATGGGGGGTGGGGAGGGGGTTATCTTTTAACCTCCTGAGGAGTCTGGTGCAGCCAGAGAAGTGGGTGCCAAAACTTATGATGAAATAGTAGAAATCCTACAGAACTATTTTTCACCAAAACCATTGGTGACATCTAAAAGGTTCAGATTTCACAAACACAAACAGCATGATGGTGAATCTATTGCCCAGTCTGTAGCATTTTTAAAGATGCTAGCAGAATGTTGTGAATTTGGAGAAAACTTACATGATGCTATCAGAGACAGACTGGTACGTGGCTTAAAACATGAAGCAATCAGTCTTCTCAATATTGATTATCCTGCCTGACTTGATACATTTGCACATTTAAAATTGTGGCCCCAATTAAAGAAACAGAAAAGAATAGATATGACCTACAAAGTTTTGTCAACTAACTTAAAAATGAGGCAGTGGTTTGTACGCTAAGTGTAATACCTACAAGCAAAGGTTGTTGAAATTCCTGGTAAATAATTACCCATAACGTTAATAACATTTCTGTCATTAAAAGGGATGGTTCAATATATGTTGTTAGCTAATGTGCAGTAATCCATAACCAGTAGGTTAAATTCTTGTCAGCAATGCACTTTAACAGTCATAGCATGAAAACTATTTCCACTGCTACAATTATCATTTTCCATTTGGCAATACGAGGGCAATAACGTTATCACACACTCAAAAATTCCCTCCAAGGCAACATAACATTAAATTTTATGTACTGATGTGAATATGTTCACCTGTTCTTTCAGGAACTTGCATTTTCTTGTAGACTGCTTGTGTTCTGGCGGACAAGACACAATTTCTTTTTAGCATGGCAATGAAATTTTCTTTCACAGAAGTTCACTTGATTGAAGTGATAAAGGTTGTTAAAATATCTTGATGTACACTAAAGAAAATCTAAATGCTGGTGAAAACAAATTTCTTTTGCACCATAATTCTGTGCATGGCTAGTTTGAAAGTATGTGCAGTTGATGCATATTACTTTGTTGAGTGGCACGTTAAACAACTATTTGAATTTTTTTAATGCCTGTCATGTAATAAGATGCTACAAGGAATTTGAAAGAAGTGAATCAGTACTACTATCTCTCCAGCCATAAACTAATCTGCTTTATTCTCCTACTTCTTTAGTAGCTCACAAGTGACACCACTATTATGTCTGAAGTCCTGCTCGCAAGTTTATTTCCTAGCTTCCTAAAATCTGGCTACGTCTTTAAAAAGGGGAGACGATCTTGAGAACGTGGTTTGCTCACATTACTAGTTGCCACACTGTGATGCACTTTGACCCTAGCAGTGACAAAATATGAGGATTGAGCTAATGAATCCATGGCTGAATAGATAGCGCAGGAGGAAGGGTTTTAGATTTTTGGAAATTTGAAACGGACTTGGGGGAAGTTGAGGATTGTACAGGATACGAGTTATACTTCACACAGAAAGGACCTACGTCCTTGTGGGGCAGTTTGCTAGCGTTGTTGAGGAGAATTTAAACTAAGTTGGCAGGGGAATGCAAACCAGAATGTAAAATTAGAGTGGAAATCAAGGTGCTCATAGCAAGGTGCTCATAGAACTGCAAGATACAGAGAAGCCCAGGGTAAGAAATGAGAATTATGTGGTGTCAGAGCAAGAGGGAATGCAGTAAGGTCTAAAATAAGTTGTCAATGCATGAGTTTAAATATATGGAATGCTAAATGAGGTTTGTGAGCTGCAACACAACTAGCCAGATGGGAGTGTGATATTGTGGCAATACTGTGGATCTTAAAAACAAGGTAGGACTGATGCTAATGATTTCTGGATAAGAGTTTCAGAAAATGGAAGGAAAGAAAGGAGGACGAAAGGCAGGATTGGTTGAGGAATAATATTACACTGGTGCAGGGAGGATGTCCCAGATGAGTCAAGGACAGAATCTATTTGTTCACAGCTTGGAAAATTAAATGTACCTTTCCATGACTGGGTGCATTTTACAGTCCACCTACTTGTGAGAAAGATTGAAATCAACAAATCTATTAGGAGGTGCAGAAATTATGAATTGATTAGCTTAATATAGACTAGGATAGGAAACAATGTAAAGTGTAGAGTCAGGAGTGAGTTTCTTCAATGAGTTCAGGAAAATTTTCAGAATGCTTCCACTTATTGTGGAAGGAGGCATTGTTGGATCTGATTCTAGGAAATGAAGTGGGACATTTAGATTAACTGTCAGCAGAAAAAATATTTAGGAGACAGTGCTCCTAGTATAATAACATTTAGGTTGCCTATACAAAAAAGCAATCCAGAGCAAAGATAATTAATTTGGGAAGGGCCAATTTCAATAGTGTGATGCTGAGTCTGACCCCAATAAGGTAGAATCAAAGATTTAACTGTAATAGAACTGTAATAAAACTGTAATAGAACAACAGGCTGGCTTTAAAAAGGAAATGACTTGTGTACAAGGTACATTCCTACATGGGGAAAATGGAGGAGAAACAAAGTCAGTGCTCTCTAGATGATGATGAGAGATGGAGAATAGTGTGAATAACAGATATCAACGTGATAATACAGAGAAGAACCATTATAGAAAGCTGAGAAGAGAAATGTGAAAAGAAATAGGCAAAGAGAATATTAGAGACTAGCAACTGACATAAAAGAGAATCCAAAAGTCTTCACAATGCATGTGAATAGTAAAAAAAATACTAAAAGGAATTGGTGTCCTGATTTGGGACTAAATAAGGGATTTACATTTAGAAGTATAGGAGGTGTCCAAGGTAAAAAGTTATTGTTTCTGTCTTTATTATGTAAGATGATGCTGAAGTCATAGTGATAGAACACATAATTGAGACACTAGGTGGGCGAAAATTAAAAGGAGATATTAGAAAATCTCACCATTCCTAAAATTGACATGAATTAGAAGTGTGCAAACTATGGAGAGATTGGCCAAAAACTTCCAATTCTCTTCAGATACTGGAGAATTACAAATGTTGCATCCTTGTTGAAAAAGTACTGCAAGAATAAGTCCAAAAACTACAGTAGAGTTAGTTTAAACTCAGTGATGGGAATACTTTTAAAAATGATAACTTGCACAAAATTGACAGTCACTTGGGCAAATATGGATTGATTAAGGAAAACCAGTACAAATTTGTTAAAGGCAAATCATGTATAACTAAATGACTTCATTTTTGGATGGAGTAACAAAAGGGTCAATGGGTGTTTTGTGGTTGATGTGGGGAATATGCACTTCCAAAAGGCTTTTGATAAAAGGCCACATACCGTATTAGCTTGTCAGCAGAGTTAAAACAAACACAGAGATGCTGGATAAACCAAGCAGATTTGGCAGCATCTGTGGAGGGAATGTTTCTAGTCCAGTTTGAGCCTTCTTCAGAAACCCATGAACTTAAAGGGGCAGGTGTAGCATGCATGAGGTCATTTGAATGACAGGAGACAAAGAATTCATACTGAAAGTGGGGTGAGGGTTCCCTGTTGTGGTGACAAGGACCACACCTTATCTTGATCTATATTAATGACACAAGCCTACATATGCAGGACACAATTTCAAAATCTGCAGAATACACAAAAGTTGAATGTATTGTGAACAAGTGGAAGATAGCGACAGACTTCAAGAAGATACATACTGATTAGTGGAGTAGACAGCAGCAGATGAAATTTACTGCAGTGAAGTGTGAAGTGTCCCTTTTAGTACGAAAACTGTAGAGGCAATATAAAAGAGTACAATTCTAAAATGGTTGCAGGAACAGAGGTACATTGGGTATTTATGCATAAGTCATTGACAGTGCTGGGACAAGGACTGAAGGGTTGGCTAATAAACCATCCAGCATCCTACATTTTAATCACATGGGAAGAGAGTACAAGATGAAGGAACTTATGTTGAACTTGCACAAGACAATAGTAGAAAAATTTTCATGTGTTATTATTTGAGGATTATCTGGTGCAGAATTGAAAACAGAAAACTAATTAGTGAAATTTCAGGTTCACTGTTATAAAGTATATTGTAGGGTCCTTGGTTCCACACATAAGTCTCTGGTCAGGTGAATGTTTATATATTTCCCAGAAGGAAAATTCTGTAGTATTGGCCTGATAGAAAAAGTAGACTACTGGCAAGTAAGATCTGCAGAGATCAGTATACCTTGGTTGACAGTAGGTTTTCTCCCAGTTCTGCGAAATAGGTACAAGTAGTATTTTGGCTCATCGCAACAACTGTTGCTGGTAGGCTGGTATTAACAACTCCTACTAGGCTTCTACTCCAAGTGGTTTGCACTGCACAACCTTTCCAGTTTTAATTTAATTTTGTCCTTAACTTGATTGTGAGCTTTATGTGCCTTTGGCATTAATTCAGATCTTAAAACTTTATTGGTGAATTAAATAATTTTTAACAATAACACAGGTGTGAGCTTGAATGTGACAGATGTGAAGCAAAGACATTTACAGCTCCTTTTTAAACTTTTACACTTTTATTGTAAAAGAAACCCAAAAATAAAAAAGAGAAATTTAATTATTGAATAAAAATACTTAGTGAATACACAAATTATACAAAGTTTATTTGCAAGTTACATTGTGTTTGATACACATGAGTTCTTGCTCAAGTCTTGGATCTTGTTGGAAATGTATGTAATTTTCTGGATCCTCTTTGTGACTTCCTCCCTATTTACCCCGGAGGTAGAATGTGAAGCATGTGCTGTGGATGTCAGAAAAAGAATTAGCCACAAATGCTATAACTCTACAGTCACAACACAAAATAGACAGAGCAGTGGGAGAAACAGGGACAGCATCTGACAACAGACGCCCCTCAGTTTACAAAAGCATAGACTGCAGTACCCCAAATAGTGTCAAACCACAGATATGGCCTGCCACAGACTGACATCTCCCAGAGTTTGCCAACCCAAGAAAGACCCATTTAACTCAACTCTACACTCCCTGTTAGCTAATCATACCTTTATCAATACTAGTCTGTTACCTCCTACAAAATGTGTGTGTGTGTGTGTGTGAGAGAGAAAGAGAGAAATTCCATCATACCTCAGTTTAATTGAGTATCCCCTTATTCTATAAGTATGATGAGTGATTCATGAATTTCCCACTAGCAGAAACATCTTCCCATGATCTATCCTATCAAGTCCTTTCAGAATATTGGATGTTTCAATAAGATTGCCTGTCATTCTTCTAAACTCTAATGAATAAAGGCTTAATTTTTTAGCCATTCTCAATAAGTAATAGAAACATTGAAAGTAACAGCAGGAGTGCACCATTCAGCCCTTCGAGCCTACTCTACCAGTCAATATGATTATGACTGATCATCCAACTTAGTACCCTATTCCTGCTTTCTCCTCATACTCTTTGATCCCTTTTGTCCTAAGAACTATATCTAACTGCTTCTTGGAAACATTTAATGTTTTGGTCTTGCCTATTTTTTGTGGCAAAGAATGTCAAAGGCTCACCATGCTCCAGGTGAAGAAATTTCTCCTCATCTCAGTCCTAAATGGTCTACCCTGTAACTTTTATCTGTGACCCTTAGTGCTACTCCGTTTATCAGGAACATCCTGCATTTACCCCGTCTAGTCCTATTAGAATGCTATAGACTTCTATGAGACAGCCCCTTATTCTTCTGAGCTCCAATGTATATAAACCTAACTGTTGAGGGCGGCATGGTGGCTCAGTGGTTAGCACTGCTGCCTCACAGCGCCAGGGACCCGGTTTGACTCCACCCTTGGGTGACTGTCTGTGTGAAGTTTGCACATTCTCCCCGTGTCTGCGTTGGTTTCCTTCCACAGTCCAAAAATATGCAGGCTAGCCGGATTGGCCATGCTAAATTCCCCATAGTGTTCAGGTATGTGTAAATTATGTGCATTATAGGGGGATGGGTCTGGGTGGATGCTCTGAGAGTCAGTGTGGACTTGTTGGGCCAAAGGGCTGTTTCCACATTGTAGGGATTCTATGATCTATGATCCACTCTCTTCGTACACCAGTTCAGCCATCCCAAGAGTCAATATGGTAAATCTTTGTTGCACTCCCTTCGCAGCCAGAATAGCCTTCGTCAGATAAAGAGTCCAAATCTGTGCACAATACTCTAGCTGTGGCCTCATCAACACTGCGCATTTGTGTTACAAGACTTATTTTTAAACTCCAACCCCCCATAATTGTAAAGACCAAAATTCAATTGTTTTTTTAAATTACTGGTTGCACCTGCATACTAACTTGGTTTTCATGCATAAGGACGTCCTCTGTGCTGTACTCTTTTGTAGTCCCTCTCCGTTTAAATAATCGTGTGCCTTTTTATTCTATCATAAGTGCATAACCGCACACTTTCTGACATTAAATTCTGCCCACTTACTCAACCTGTTTAAATCCCCTCGTTAAATTCCTTATACCCTCATCACAACAAACCCTCTTCTTATTTTTGTACTGTCAACAAATTTGGATACATTTCTCTCTCTGTCCCCTCTTCCAATTCATTAATATACTTAGATAATAATTGAGGCCCTAGGACAGATTTTTATGGCATTTCAATAGTAACATCTTTCCAGCCTCAAAAAGACCCATTAATCCTGACTCTTTGTCATCTATGTGTTAACCAATCCTCGATCTATGCTATTACATTAAACCAATACTGTGAGCTCCTATCTGCCACCTTATTGAATGCTTTCAAATACATTACACGTACAGGCTTCTCTCTAACAACTCTGCTCACTACATCATCTCACAGCTCTAGTTAATTTGTCAAACATGATTTCCCTTTCACAAAACCACAATCTGTTTGATTGTGTTAAGCATTTCTAAATGTGCTGGGTTTTTTTCCTTAATAATTCCCTAGCATTTTCCTAGCAATAGATGTTAGGCTAATTGGCCTGACTTTCTGCCATCCTCCCTTTTTGAACAGTAGCGCAAACCCTCCCAGATTCCAGTGAGCTCTGGAATATTTCAATCATTGCCTCCACTATGTCTGCAGCTACTTCCTTTCAGCTTCTTGGACGCAGACCATAACATCCTGGTGACTTGTATGCCTTTAGTTCCACTAACTTGTCAAATTCTTTGACCCTCATGACAGAGACTGTAACCAGATCTTTCCTCTCATTAGCACATTGCTTATCATTCAGCTTTGGGATATTTATGGTGTCCTCAACCATGAAGACTAATGCAAAATATTTGTTTAAATTATTGGATCATTTTCTATTATTAACTGTGCAGTTGCACCCTCTAAGGGTCACACAATTACTTTAACTACTCTCTTTTTATATATCTTTAGAAGCTCTTGCTGTTTGCTTTTATATTTCTTACCAATTTATATCATAAGCAATTTTCTGCCTTTTTATTAGTCTTTTATTCATCTGCTCCTGGCTCCAAAAAATAATCCTAACTCTCTGGTCTAGCACAGATTTTCACCACTTTGTATGCTTTAGTTTTTTATTAGATATTCTCCTTGACCATCTTTGTTGACCATGGGCAGTTCATTCTTTTCATTCGAGTCCTTCTTTATGACTGGAATAAATTTTTGCTGAACATTATGAAATGTCTGCTTTAAATGTCTGCTGCTGGTCATCCATTAACATTCATTTTAAATCTGTTTTCCCATACCATTTTACACAACTGTTTCTTACCTTCATAATGGTCCAATGTGAGTTGAGGATACTGATTTGCGGACTGACTTGCTTTTCCTTAAACTGAATTTGAAATTCTAGCATGTTGTGATCGCAATGACAGTGTAGCTACAAAATATCTTATTATTCCTACTTCATTACACACCACTAGGCCTAAAATAGCCTGTTCCCAGTAGGTTCTGCAACATACTACTCTCAGAAACAATTCCTGATGTACTGTTCAAATTCAACTTCCATGTTACCCATGCCTATTTGATTTGTTCAGTCAATATGCAGATTAGAATGACCCATGACAATTACGGTGCCCTTTTTACATGGCTCCATTATTTTTCAATTTATACTTTGTTGTCCATCGAGACAACCATTTCGGGGCCTACTGACGACACCCAACTGTTTCTTTCCCTTACTATTCCTTATTTCCACCTAAACTAATTCACATCACAATCTATCACTTTATACTATTGCAGTTACCTTCCTTAATAAACAGAACTATTGCACCTCTTTTTCCTTTTTGCCTATTCTTCTGGAACATTGAATATCCTTGAATATTTAGTTCCCATTCCTGGTCACCCTGTAACCATGGTTTTGTATTTGCTTTCAAATCAAACTAATTTATTTCAATTTGTGCCATCAACTCGTCTGTGTGTCACAAATTCTGTGTGCACTCAGATAAAGAAACTCAAATTTTGATGTTTTACCACTATTACTCTCATTCTAAATTCTGCTGCATCCTTCTGTGTATATTTTCCATCCCCTAATTTTACACTTAGATGACCACTCACCTCACCACCCTGAATCTTTTTTTGATTGTTTGAGCGTCCCTTCAATTGAAGCCATTCTACTAATTAGTTTAAAGCTCGAGATACAACCATAGTTATACTGATCCGAGTATGATAAGCTGGAACCCCCTCCTCCCACACCAATCTTCAAGCCACACATTTACTTCTCTAATCTTATTTACCCTATTTCACTTTGCACATGGCTCAGGTGGTAATCCTGAGATTATTACCTTTGTCATTCCACTTATTAATTAATCCCTAAACTATTTGTAACCGTCAGCAGAGCCTGCTTCCTCATCCTACCTTTGTCATTGGTACCTACATGGATGACAAGTGGATTCTTTGCCTCCCACTCCATGTTCCTCTCCAGCCTAGAAGATATACCCTGAACCTTAGCACGAGTTATACATCGCACTCTGTGGGACTCTCTGTCTTTGCTTCAGTGAATGGTATCAAGTCTTTGAATCAAAGAATTCATTATGACTGCTACATTTCTCTTTTCTCCCCCAACTTGAATAATACTTTGGACCACAGTGCTCTGGTCAGTTCCCTATCTTGCCTCCAGTCTGTGCTCCATTCTGGGACCAAGACCCTCGGATCTATTGGACAAGGGGACTGGCTGACGCTTCTCCAAAGTTAAATTCTGGATCTCAATACCTGCCTCACTCACAGGCATGCCCTCCTGTCCCTAACCATGAACCAGATTTGATGTAATTAATCTAAGGGGGTGTGACTGCCTCCTGAAAAAGTATGCAGGTACTTCTGTCCTCTCTTCGTGTTACAGTGTCCGCAGGTCAGACTCCAGCTCATCAACTCTGAGCCAAAGTTCTTTGAGCAGCCAACACTTTGAGATGTGGTCAGTGTGGCTTGCACTGGTGTGTACCAAGTTCCACAAACTACAGCTACAACACATCGCCTGCTGACCCATCTCTATTATATTTATTGTATTGATTTGGATGTCGAATATTTCCTAATTGTACACTTCTACTGTAATAATGTCTTCTGATTTAAACCACTTAGCCAATCAAAAAGAGACAGGGAAAATCACCTGCTTACTTTTCTGTGATGTCACACTTCTGCTCTGACAGGTAAGAGCAGGTTGAAGGAGTTCACTGCCGCCATTTTTTATCTCATACATTACTGTCCTCCTTTTCCATGTGGGTACACTCTCAGTGTGTTCTAAGACAAAGACAGAAGGATGGAGAGTGAAAGAGAATCAGAAAGAAAGACAGAGGGACAGAAGTAATATAAGAGACTACAGATTTTTCACTTTTGGAAGTTGAACTGCTATAACTGGGATACCTAGAGAGTTTTACAGCTTGAAAATCAAGTGCTGCCTAAATTATTGAGCCATGAAATATATAGTTGCCTTTTGGAAGCAGCAAGGAGAATGCGAGATTGAATGGCACCAATGGTCTTTTGAATTGATGAAATTCTGTACAACAGCAGTCTTCTGGTTGAAGTACTGAGTGTATCGTCTTTGATTCCCCACATAAACATCTGATCAGGGGAATATCCTTTTTTACCCTCGTCAACAGTATTGCTGATTGCTGGATGTAGCATCCTTATTTACTATATTTACCCTTTTAGAAATTTCTTTAGGAAGGTTCTGCAGTGGGGTTTTATGAGCAGCTGAGTACAAAGCAACAGGGACTGATGACTCTGTGCAGTAACTGGCCTGACATTAGGTCCTTTGACTGTTCCACCTGTAGGCAATTGTACTTCATGGGAGGCAATATATCCCCACAGGAGGCAACATATGCCTGTGCCTTTTTGAAAACATATGGCATTGATCCCATGTCTCCCTAATTTTCCTCCTTTTTGGGGTTCCTGATTTAGCAATGTGGTGTTTCTATCATAATTTTATTGTGTTATAAAATCACTCTCATATGGATTATAATGCTTTCATTCCCAATGTGGTTTATCTGTTGTTGGGATCATATTCTCTGGGATGCTGTGGTCTATATCCTTTTTATGCCTCTTGTGTCCTGATTTACAGGTTAAGGCGAAGGAGGTGTTCTTGGAAGATTATTATGTTTAGGTTTAATTACCAGAGCTCATTGTTGATTATTGGGTGTGTTTGCTTGTATTTTGTTTTCTTCACTCTTTCTATGTTCATTAGAGCATGTGCATTCTCAATAATTCTACGGACTTGTAGGAATTTATCCTGACTATTTTGTACATTAGCTGAAGCTGTTTCAGAGTTTAATTTTATGGCTGTGCTTTAATGAAAGTTCAGTGGGCATCCATCCCCAATGTCCCAATTATTCTGTTAGACTTTGATCTATTTCAGATGCAGTAGGAAGTCCATGTTCCACTGTTATTTTAATGAACATTGTAGGTAATTCAGAAATAAGTGATGTGCCATTTTTTTCTAAAAGGCACAGGCATACATTGCCTCCGCTGGGGATAAATTGCCTCCGAATGAAGTACAATTGCCTACAGGTGGAACAATCAAAGGACCTAATGTCAGGCCAGTTACTGGACATAAAGCCATCAGTCCCTATTGCTTCCTACAAAATGATATGTCTTGTCAGATTGTTAACATTCATGCCAGGTATTTTTTGGCATGAGTCCTGCATTCTGGCTTTCCACAGATTTATGTATCTTATAAATTAATTTAATGAGTGGTTGAACCATAACCTGGTAATTGTTGGACCATCTGGTCTGTTTTGGGTCCTTTCAAAATTCATAAAATTTCAATAGGCTTGAATACACCTCTCAGGACCTCATTAGGTTTGAATGGTGTCCAACAGGCTTCTTTTGTAGACAGTATATTGACTTCAAGGCTACATGACAGCATTCTGCTGCCAGTTAATTGATTTATTATAAAAACAATTTGCAGGTTTAAGGGAAAAGGCAGGAGAATAGCACTAAACTAGTGCGGTCACAATGGGCTGAATGAACTCCTTCAGCATCATACTAATTCAATAATTCTTTAAGAATAAACAATCTCTCGAGCTCTGACAGCACCTCTATTGATGCTGCCTCCATCGACAGCAAAGATTAAAATCTGATCAGGTTGAGGAAGCAGAATTGCATTTTTCCATCTAGCAAGACAGTTTGTTTAGTCACTTAAAAAATGGACCATCCCTATACCATGCTGTCTTGTCATGGTTTCTGTGTTATGGTCTCACCATCGCGAGGTCTTTAATTTCAATGCATGTTGTAATGTAGACAGGCCTTTACAGACCTTTTAGCCAATTACATGGCATCACAAGGTGAGATTTTGGTATAAAAGTACCTGGCTTGTCTTTGGTCTTGTGTAACTTGGCTTGCAGTTGGTTTTTCTTTCGGTGAACTTGGTGTCGTCAGTGAGTAATGTTCTGTTACATCATTAAGCATTGAACCCAGACGATGTGTGTAAATTGATGATATTGTAGCCTTGTTAATTGATAGCATTGTCAATAATTCTCAAAATTGCTGACCGAAAAAGAACTGAAGTTTCATGATAATGCCACATAAGCTAACATATGGAAAACCACAAACTACATCATGGTTTCAGCAAATACACACTAAAGGCTATTTGTGACAGCTAGTTAGATGCAGTGCGTGCACACTAAAGGTGAAAATATGACTGCAAAATGACCGTTATGGAAAGTCTTTTTTCCTAACAGTCATCCATCAATCCGTCTGAGTTCTGAGTTGAAGTTACAACTACAAACAAAAGGCTACAAAACCTGTACTAAAGAAAACTCTACCTCTCCCTATCAAAAAAACCCAACTGAGGCTCCTATTGACCTGCTGTCTATAAAGCCAAGATCCCATATGTTCTATTAAATACATTCTCAGCCGTCTCTGCTATAAAGAGAATCACCAAAATAAGATACTAAAGTTTGAAAAGCTAGGATCAAGTAAGAAGTAACACATGCAGACCACAACAGTATTGATAGGTTTACTGAGATCCTGGTATTTGGACTTCATCTTACAGGTTGGAGCAAAGACACTATATTTTATTAAAACATTTTACTGGAATTTCATATAATCTTCACATATATTGTGAATTCTAATAAGAATGCATATAATTTTAAAGTAGAATTGTCATATTATAATTCACATTAAACTATCCCTAAATTGGCTGCCTATACAGTTGACTGGACAGATTTACCTTGCTTGGTGTGGGGGCTTGGGTGGGGAAAAGGAGAACTTCTGACAGCTTGTACCTAGTTCATGGATCTTGAGACCAATATTAAATAAAAACATGCTGAATCAAGTTATCTTATGAGAGATAAGAGGTTATACAGGAATTCCATTATCGTTAAAATATTTATAAGAATGTTTCTAGGAGCAGGTGCTTAATTATATTAGAAGAAATTATATTAAGAGAAGAAATTGAAAACAGATTTGATAATTTGATCTGATTTGTTGAAAATGATGAATGGTCTAGACAGAGCAGATTGGGAGAAACGGCTCCCATAAGCAAAATGATCAAGAACCAGAGCACACCAGTGTAAGATGAATGGCAACAGAACCAAAGCCAACATGAGGAAAAGCTTTTTTATGCAGTGACTGATCAGTGTCTGGAATGTAGTACCAGAGACTAAGGTGGAGGCATATTCAGTCATAGTTTTTAAAAAGAAATTGGACAACAAGCTGAATAGAAAAACAATTCAAGGAATAGCTGAGATAATAAGGTGTAGAGCTGGATGAACACAGCAGGCCGAGCAGGAAAGCTGACGTTTCGGGCCTAGACCCTTCTTCAGAAATGCATTTCTGAAGAAGAGTCTAGGCCCGAAACGTCAGCTTTCCTGCTCCTCTGATGCTGCTTGGCCTGCTGTGTTCATCCAGCTCTACACCTTGTTATCTCAGATTCTCCAGCATCTGCAGTTCCTACCATCTCTCAAGGAATAGCTGAATTGTTTTTGCAGAAAACTGATATGAACAATATGAACCAAAAGGCATACTTTTGTGCTGTAACTTTCTATCATCCTGACATCCTAACTGCATTCATTCAAGATGTTCAGGTGCAGGTGGTGGACCATTAAGTATCATTTCAATGAAGCAGCACTAAGCAGCTGCCAGCCAGCAGTGCACAGCAGATACAGTAATCTTTATGCTTATATAGTACCACTGATGCAATTCATTTCTCAACCTGGAAAATTTTAGGTGGGTGTATTCAGAGCCAGGGAGGTTGGAGTTTGGTCTGGGGCCGAGAATCATAACTCTGGTAGTCCCATTATTGATCCAATGGATTATATATCATCCAATACTGGATGATCTAATGTACAGACCAATAACACAAAGGCAGTGGAGGAATTGAGAAAGGTGTTGGAAAAATTAAGCTGAGTGTTATTAACATGCATGATGAAGCTGACCCACCATTTATGTATTATGTTATCAAAGGGCAACATGTAAGTGAAAAGGGGGAAGTACCAAGATAAATCCTAGGGCAACTCTGAACTATTTATGCTGGAATGGGAGGACAAACTATTGTTAGAGATTCTATAGTTTGTCGTTTCAGCTCCCTGGCCTCCTTTCCTGGGCTCCTGATTCTCTACCTTGATTTCTGGGTTCTTACTATTGCTGCTCCTTGGCTTCAATCATTGGACTTTCACTATTAATGCTGCCTGAGAAAGGGTGGGACTGGCTTGCAAATGGTGAGCAACACTATGGAAAATTGGAATTGGAATGAGGGTTGGGAATGGACCAGCAAGAAGTGATGAGCCGGACTGAACGAAATGAAATAGATATAGCATGAGATTGCGTGGGGAAGATGTGTGTGAGATGGGATTTTAAAGAAGTACTACTTCAATAAAGACACTAGTTTCAAGAAGGCAGTTCCTTGAGAACCACCTTATCAAGGCCTACTAGGGATGGACAATAAATGCTGGTCCACCCAGTGACGCCCATGTCCCACGACGGAATAAAACCGTATCACTGCAAATGTTTTGAACATCTGGTCAAATATTATTTCCTGATCCTTGTCTATTTGAACCATGGCGACTGTGAGGGATCTATTTCTTCTATGAGTGAACTGATCCACCAATTTAGTGCTCCATCCAGCATCTGAGGTAAGTAAAAACATCCGTGGCTCTTGTTGACAACAAACGAAGACATATTCACCTTGGTGCATTTTGACACTAAACATAAAAAAACTATTGATGGAAGATATTTTAACGATGACTCACCACCTTCACAAAAGGCGGGGGGGTAGGGGCCCATCATGCTAAAAACGAACGGAAGTGCTGGAAACACTGGGCAGGTTAGCAAGCAGTGAACGTTTGCAGTCCAAGAAGAATTTCCTGAGTCTTTTTTTTTCTCTCAGCACGTTGTTTTTTTAAATTTCACATTTCTAGCATGCGCATCATTTTGCTTCTATACTCCATTATGGGCACCACAACTTCCAGAAGCTCGGATTCCCGGGACCGGTGCGCGTGCGCCGGCCAGTGACGTGAGCGCGCGGTGGCGGCGGCTCGAGGTCACGTCGGTTGGAGCCGATGATGAAAAGGAGCGGAGAGTAGTCGTCTCATGCAGTTTGTATGGCGAGATTACACAGAACAGAACCAACACTTTCCTTTTCCTTCACTGGAGACCAAATGCAGCCATTTTAACTAGAAACACGCAGTTCATTCGCACGCCTGGCTTCTAATTTTATCTTGAATTTCCAAACGCTTCTTTACCTTGGGGAGAGAGGAGAATCTGAAGAAGGTCTTGTTCACTTAAAGCGGAATTAATAATTAAATGGTAACGAAGAACAGATTCAACAGAATCTATTCCGTTGGAGGGGTCCTGACTCTTCCTCCCTTCTCCAGGTGATGCCCTCTGATTTCATCTCGCTTCTCAGTGCGGATTTGGATCTTAATTCGCCCAAGAGTTTGTATTCCAAAGGTAAGGAAGTATCTGATCGTATTTCTCTTTCATTCACTTTGTTTATCTACGCGTTCGGTTGTAGAATAACACCTCGTATTTTCGACGATAATCTTCGAGGACATCTTTTACTGTAGGCCGTGCCTGAAATAAGTGTAATTCAGAGTACGTTACGTTTAACATGTATGTCATTCCCAATATTTGTAAGATAACGACGCAGTATCGCGTCGACTGTGCGGCTTTGGATGTTTTTTGTTCGAAAGAAATGATTCGTGAGAAAAATAAAATCGTTAATTCCTTTTCGATTAAGTGTTCTTTTCGACGGGCACCCTAACTTTATTATTTGATTGACGTTCCCGTCCACCTGTCAGGGGACGTGTCTTTGCGCTCGGGATACAGTGGAAGGTTGTCAGCAACGTTGGTAGGCGGTCTCGGTATTTACAAATAAAGTTGTGTTGATGAACGTTGTGTTTATTGAAGAACTAATCCGGACCTTCAAAAGTCCATGGTTATCTTTGGAACCGGCCTCATTAGGGGCATTTAAGCGGCTAATAGATAGGCATATGGATGATAGTATAAGGTAGTGGTGGAGGTTAGATAGACCTTAGGTTTTGGGTAAAAGTTCGGCACAACATTGTGGGCCGAAGGGCCTGTACTGTGCTGTACAGTTCTATGTTCTGTGTTCTATGTTCAGTGATTCTGCTGGGTCAATTTTTTTTAGCTCAAACATAAACTTTCGTAATGTTACCTCCTGCCGTTTCTTGCAGGTTAGATAGTGGCTTAGTGTGTACGATTTTTAGACGATACTTTCACTACTAGACTGTAGGTTTTTATTAGAAGAATACTAGAACCATTGCTAGAAGGCTAGCAACATCCATGGAGAGGATGATGCACTGAAGTTTCATGTGCGTACCGTTTCTAAGTCCCCTAAGTTGAGGTCATGGATTTTTGTATTTGTTTATGGATATTGCTGACCAGACAGAATATCCTGAAGAAGGGTTCCCACCCGAAACGGTGCCCCTCATGTGCTGTCTGATCTGCTGTGCTTTTCCAGCTCCACATTTTTTTGACTCTAGTTTCCAGCATCTGCAGTCCTTTCTGTCTCCTAGACAGAATGTATTGCCTGTCCCTAATTGCCCTTGCATTTTTACGTTTACTTTCAATTTTTCAAGAAGCTTTTCTGAATTTCACTAATTTCAACATAGGAGTTTCACGTAGCAGCATTACAATTGTAGTTATAGTGTACTCTGTACATCCATGGTTAGAATACAATTAAATGAATGGATACTAATGAAATTGACAACTCTCCACTCTTCATGCTGATTTGGACTGTGGTTGTGAATTCTTACCCAGGCCCATCAGCATTTTGAGAATTTGATCACAACTACGGTGACAAAATGCCATAAGAGGGCAGGTGCTTGCATGAGGGCTGGAAAAGAATCCAAAGAAAGACTATTTGAAGCACTGTTACTTTTGTCATTAGGTACCAGGACAGTTATATCATTGATGGGCTTTGAATAGGCTGCATGCCTACAATTAGTGAGTTGTGAGGGGAAATAAGAACTGTTAAACAAAACTTCGTTTGCCTCGGTTTTCCTCATTTGTTTGAACATATTGACTACTTTTTGTGACATGGCCTCAGCTGAAGTCAATGCACGCGTTTTTCAACGGGGAGTGTTAATGTAGCTACAAACGTGGCTGAATCCTTCCTGAACCAAGGAATGTAAAAGCTGATTGTGGCTTCGTAGTGCAATCCCACACCCATAACTTAATACTTCGTAACAAATCAGACTTGCGATCATCTGGTTTGTATGCCTCTCTTACACATTACCTTTGCCAATAAAGTTATCAAAGGACGTTAAGGTTTTCTGAAATGGGGAGCTTCTGTCTCAATAATTAGTGAAAAATGAAAAATACTACTAAAATTGGGGTGATTGTTGTTATCCCCATCACTCACTCCCTTCATTTCATTTAAAAATGGAGTTCTGGCAGGAATGTCATTGACAAGTAGCCTGTTCTGCAGCTTTTTAAAAAAATATTTTGTGGCATGTGGGCCTGCAGTTCGTGTGAAGTAGGTACACCCTCAGTGCTGTTGGGAAGAGTGTTCTAGAATTTTGACCTAGCTACAGTGAAGGAATGATAGTTCCAAGTAAGCGTGAGTGTGGCTTGGAGGGGGACTAGCAGGTGTTGGTGCTCCCTTGCATCTGCTCTCCTTGTCCTTTTTTAACTTGTGGATGTTGAGGGTTGTGAAGATGCTGCTGTAGATTCAGGTCTTGTCAAAATGTGGTTGATTGTTGAAAGTGAGAAAGTGTTCTTGGCCAAAATTGATTAACTCCTAGCCCTAAATTTCAGCAAATGATAAGCAAATCTGTGCTCATGTGCAAAATTATCAGAAACCACTTGAATTTAATTTCTTTTTAAACTCTGCAAATCTGTAATGGTAATAATTTAAGCTCCTTCTTCGTTCAGAAAAAGATGTTAGAGACAGCTTTCTTATCAATTTATTTCATGCGCTGCTGTTAGTTTTTGCCATATGCACAAAACAGGCTAAAATATATTGAAATCTGGGCTTCTTGAAAATCACAAGTTTTGAAACTGAAAATTGTTGCATGGGGATGTTTTGTCAATTTAAGGCCTAGATATTTCTTCAGCCTCAAGTTAAATTTTGCGGAAGCTGTAAAAGTAGATATTATTAAAATCAAAGTGCATAAAGATGCCCTTTAAACATCACCTTTTAAGTGATATGGCTCTGTTCACATGAACTGTATTGCCAGTTCAAGGTATCATACTGTGCAATTCTGTGTTTTATAGGCGTTGCAACCATTGACTGTGTGTATATACTATATATAGAAAATATTTAATTCAACAAAGTAGAAACACTTACTAGCCAGGAGTTATTTCAAAGTAATTATGACTTGAAATTGTTGTTTGAAATAAGTGGAACTGTTTGAGTTTACAATCTAGAAATTCCTTTGTTTTGTGGAGTTTGGAAATGCGTGCTTATTCTATTTTTGATAATTCATCCCTATAATGGGAGTGGTTAGTGGCCAGTGTGTATTCAAAATGTAATGCTTGACAAGTTTCTACATTGAAGAATAATTACAGGTTTAGTCAGTTGACAATGCATAGCTAAGTTAGGCTGCATTTCTGCTATATATTTTGAAAGAAGAGGCTCAGTATGTTAGCATGAAGCCAGTACATCACTCACATTTTCCAAAGAAAAATTCTATCACCTATTTTCTTTTGAATGGGATGGTCTGTAATGAAACTGAGGATGAGCAGAATCTGTTGAATAAAATCAGCATCTGAGTTTCATGCTGTTTTATAGCAAATATAGTGGACATATACTGTATGGGTTGCCAAAACATTTCGACATTGCTCAGAAAACTAGGTATAATGATGTTCTTGCCTTGTAATATGTAGATATCCCATTTTCTTATTATCACATGAATAATGTCACATGTCAGAATATTTCAAACAGTAGTTGAATTGCAATTTGTTTTCTTGTACACCAATTACAGACCAACTGTCAGCATGATTTATTCTGCAAGTTAGCTGTCAGTTAGATTCAATTGCATATTCATTGTTATTTGATTTGCCTGTGATTTTTATGTAGCATTCTCAGACTGGGATTTAAACATAGCTACTTTTTAAAAGTCCAGCATTCTGATGGTTACTGTTTTTTACAATATTTTATATTGATAGTTGCCTAAAATACTGGTTGCACCCAGTATGGTTCCTATTTTTGTTTGGATACGTATCCATTTTAAATATTTAAAAGATTTGGATTTATGATACTTTCTGTAGCTGTTCATACCATACTTTCCTTTATTTTAGGGAAATTCAGCTAAATTTAACACTTTTTTTTAATCCTTCGGGATGGTGTCAAAATCCCTTTTCAATATACTGATAATGAACGTGATATTGGTAGAAGCATTTGAGATAGAAAATTTACTACATTGTAATTAAAGGGAGAAGGATTTGTTGCTAGGGAACAAGACTAAAGCAGTGTGTTGATGCATGTTTTAAAAATAGCTGCCGCATGAGTTTTCGACAAGTTGTCGTTCTGTTCGGAGTGATGAAACTATTCCGATTTCCAAGATTGTTTTATGTAGCATAGCATAAAAACAGCTGTCCACTTTCCATGCTGTCCATTCATTGCATTCTTTTTATAACTTTCCCACTTTTGAATGAAAAAGATATTGATTTCTGCTTTGTTTTTTACGCAAGAGGTGTATGTACTCTTGAGACATACAGTAAGTATGCACACTCTATATGATTTCATTATAGAGCAAATAGTAATATATTTTTACATTCCTTCCATTAAATATATTGTAAATCCCCTATCACCATACAGTTCTTTAGAAATTAATGAGGTGTGTTCAGTGATGGGGCCAAATCATTCATGGTTGAAGAGTGCTGGAAGCTAGCAAGGGTAAACTGTTATGTGTTACAGCAATAGGTCCACTGGGACACTGTATATTGTATTGCTTGTCTCCTTATTGGATGCTAGGGGTGAAGCTTGGACTAGTTGGAAGATTGGCTTGCAGGATGGGGATCCATGTCTGTTGATGTTTACTCCACTTTATGCATAGCCAATATATTAATCTCCTTGTCGGACAGATATGCCATTTATGCATGGACTGAATCTTTTTCATCAAAATGTAAGGTTGTTTTCCAACAGGAAGAAGCATTATCTTGTCAGAAGCAAGATTTGTCAAACATCCAACTGGAAGGTTTTTCCTTGCCTTTCCACTGTTTTGCCTTCAGTTTACTCCCATTTAAATGCTACTCATTCAGTTTTAAAACAGAGTGTGATACTTTCCAATTCCAACAATCAAACTTACAACAAACAGCATTTAGTTTTGTTTTTAAATATAAATGAACATGACAATTTTTTTTTTTTTTTTTTTTGCAGTTTGAAAATAATTTCCAAACTTAAGTCAACCTTAAATATCGAAGACTTAAGATCCCAAATAATTAATGATTTGGAGACATAGAAATACAAGTTTCTTATTTGAAGGTAATTGACGTAATTGTTACTGGTTACTTGCTCAAGCTAGTCCTGCAGAGATTTGTTTGAGTTTGGTAATGCGTTAAAGAGAATATTATGGTTTCAGATGGTGTATGTTTATCACTTGGCTAATGAAG